TGCGGGGTGTGTTAATCCAGGCCAAGTGCGAGAAGTGCGAGTCCACTGAAACGGCCACCACTTCTGTGTTGAGTGCTTTGAACTCTTGGATGCGATCACTGAATGCAATGATTTCTGTCGGACACACGAAAGTGCTGTCCATTCAACCATTCAATGCACACAAACACAGATTATGTCAAACATTCAGTCAATACAGTCTATTAATACAGGAATGCTATGAAAGACTCACAAATCCAAGGGATAGAAAAATAGGACCAAATATTTGCCACTGAAGTCAGACAGTTGGATGGATTTGAAGTCTTGAGAGACAACAGCCGTTCCCTTGAAGGCAGGCGCCGGTCGACTCACAAACGCCGCCATCGATGCTGGAGACGAGTGAAGACATCTATAGCCCAATCCATTGACTCGTTTGGTGGCCAACACTTTGAGGGACTGAATGGACAAATGATGTTGAGATACGGGTTAAATATGGGATCAATTCAGTGATTACTTGTTTGATAAATGTATTCATTTTTCATGCAATCAAAGCGACAGTAATTGTCAATAAGAGTGAGTATTATGACTGCACTGAACACACAGTAGTCTACGAGTGCTCAGTGTCTCAGTCAGTGTCTCACATGTCTAACACATGACTCACACAAAGCACTCATTCACTGAACTGTTGTTTACTTCAATTGTCTTCAATTGTCTTCACTGCTGTCACCGATTGTCTCATCAATGATGAGTCAAATAAATCACTTTCCGGGAAATACAAGTCTTCTCGAAGAACTGGACAGTAATTATGATTGAATTGAATGACCAGTCAATCACTTTTGTCTGTATATTCACAGAGAAACTGATGGTTTTGTTGAGAGACGGGCGGACACTGATTGGCTTCTTAAGGAGTATCGATCAGTTCGGTAATGCATTCCTCCGCAGCATTGTCTCACCATTCATTGATCATTGACTCACTCATACCATTACAGCCAATCTGGTTCTTCACCAAACCATTGAACGCATATATGTGGACAACAAGTACGGAGACATACCCCGAGGAATATTCCTAATCCGTGGCGAGAATGTGTTGATCATTGATTCACTCATACCATTACAGCCAATCTGGTTCTTCACCAAACCATTGAACGCATATATGTGGACAACAAGTACGGAGACATACCCCGAGGAATATTCCTAATCCGTGGCGAGAATGTGGTTCTTTGCGGAGAAATTGTAAGTATTTGTTGATGTGATGAATGCATTTCGTGGTAACCGGAGTGTTGTGTTGAGGACACCGACAAACACGAGTCCATTGACCTGAAGAGAGTGGCCGTCGAAGAGATCCTCGAATTACAGCAAAACGAAATCGAAGCGAAACAACACAAAGACCGGATCAGACTCACCGCTCTTCAGGAAAGGGGTCTCTCCTCTCATTTGGACACTAATCACGAAGAGTTCTAACGCCCTCTCACTCTCTCTTCTCTTATTGTTATCTTATTTTTACAATTATTTCTTTCAAGTGATGTGCAAATTGAAAACTAAATCATTAAACAATTGTTTTGTAATTATTATATAATTATGCATTCATTTCATTACTATTGCAGAGATTGTATTGTTTCTCAATATTTAAATATTTAATAAATGATAAATCAAACAAATGTTGAGTCAATTCATATTATATATCAAACATTAAACTACTCAAAAGTGAACTCAGACGTGAATTGGTATCACAATAGAAATACCCTGGTCAAAACGTATTTTAATATAAACTCAGGTTTACAGTATAGCCACAACTTTTGTTCAAATTGTTAATTTTAATTAAAGAATTTAATGTTTAAAACAAAATTTTACATAAATTTACATATTTATAATTGTAATTAATAAGAATTTTAATGATAATAAAAAATTCTTGAGATAGGTACTCGCTCATATTGAATTCTCTTTCAAATCCAGTTATCAGAATAATTTTATCTAGCATAGTTTTTGCTGTACAAACAATGACTATTGATTCCCTTGGACGTGGTTAGAGACATAATGTCTTCGAGAAAATATCTCATCAAATAAATGTTCTGGAGCATCTCAAAGATTAGATTTGACCATTGATTAATGCCATTGAAAAAGATTTTGGATTTGTTATTTGATACAGTTATTGTCTATGGCAGTAATCAATGGTCAAATACAATGTTTGAGATGCTCCAGAACAGTTATTTGATGAGATGTGTTCAAAATTAAAACGCAGACCTTGTACATTCTTTGAGATCTATCCAAGGACTAATTAAATTTACCCTGAAACTTGCAATAATTTTGCAATAAAATCTCCATTCCCTCCCGGTGCTTCAAATTAGCAAAAATCTGAAAAATTCTATATCGATAAAGAATTGAATTATCTACATTT